CAAAGTAGACTCACAGATATACACAGTAGTACAAGTAGACTCACAAGCGATACAAAGTAGACTCTTATGTAATACAAGGGAGTGTGGCGTGAGGAGTCGAGCTGTTCACCTGCTCACACTGCAACAAGGTGATATCATCAGCTCCCTAATTAATTGGACACCACGGCAGGGAGTGTGTGTTGGCTAGTGTTGCTGCCTGCGTGTTTTCAGGTGTTCTCTGTGGTGTTCTGTGACGTTTCTCGGTGTTCTGTGACGTTTCTCGATGTTCTGTGACGTTTCTCGGTGTTCTGTGACGTTTCTCGATGTTCTGTGACGTTTTCCTTCGCATTCTGTAATTTTCTGAGAATGACTTGTGATGGTTTGTGATGTTTCATAGGATATCATTACATGTTCTGTGGTGTGTGTTGCGAGTCTGTAATATCGCGATGTTTTCTCATGTCTCGCGATGTTTTCTCATGTTCTGTTGTGTACTGAGGCGTTTATGTGATGTTTCGTAACGTGTTGTGTAGTGTTCTGTTACCTCTTGTAATGTTCAATGATGTTTGGCCGTGTTCTGTATTATTTCGCGGTGCTCTGTGACTTGTGGCTGTGTCCTGCAGCATTTTACGACTTCCTGTGCGACTTTTTACTGTCGTCTGTGAGGCTTCTAGATATTTCTGTGGCGTCTTTATGATATCGTGTGTGTGTTATTGCCTGTTCTTTGGTGTGTCAAGCTGACCTGAGCCACTGTGTTGTGGTGTATCAAAGAGGTGTTATTGTGGGTGAGTGATGTCTTGTGGTATTATGTGAAGGATTTGTTGCCGTGGACGAGCGATGTGTTGTAGCAATGTGTGTGTGTGTGTGTGGCGTTTGTAGGGTTGTTGTCCAGTGTGATTCTTTGACGTGTTTCATTTGTTTTGTTGTTTTTTCTTGTGTTGCAGAATGAAGGCAGAAGATGAAGTGTATCTGTGTCAGGGTAATGTACAATACTATCACTCAGTTAAGGGTATCAGATGGTCTGTGGTTAAATAAGGTAGAGCACAGTACAGTACAGTACAGT